ATTACTTTCTATTTAGTATTATATCTGATACATTTAGGGCCTGTTTGGAAGGACACCCTGGTAATTGGATTTGGTGTAATTGGTGTAATTACATTGTCTTGTCCTGTTTGAAAAGATAGGTAATTACTTGGTCAGCAGGTAATTGGTGTAATTGGCAGGGGGTAATTACACTCTACAATTCACAGGCAGAGGCTGTAAATTGTTGGTAATTACATGGTGTAATTACCACCTGATTACTTTTTAATTTCTTTTTTTTATTTCTATTTTTTTTTACTTCTATTATTTTAAGTTCTTTTTTTATTTTTATTATTCTAAAAATTTGCAAAAGTTTATTTTATATTTTATATTATTATATTTCATTTTCTTCTTGTTCTCAACCTTACTTTACGTGATTCTATGTAATTTTCTTGTATTATCTATTTCTTTATGCCATGCTTATTTTCTCATTAGCATAATTTTATTAGTATTCTAATTTTTAAATTAAAATAAAATTTATTATTAAGTAAGGTTATAGACTTACGTTTTCTTTATTAAGAAAAAATAAAAATAAATCATATTTATTGCTATGTTGAAATTTGTTATAAGTTAAATTTTTTGTTTTGAATTTATAACCTATGTTATATTTTCAATTTCATTTGTTTTAGTAATATTGAATTTACATTGCACGTGATTTTTAATTAGACTTGATAAATTATATTTTTGTCAAACATTTAATAATTTATGACATTTTATTTATATATTATTCTTTTTATCAAACATGCATTTCACGATGTTCGTAGAAACTTCATACTTTTAGTTGTTACGATCAATTCAATTGAAATATATTAATTTGAAAAAATATAAATCAATTATTTTTTCATAATATTAGTTACAGAAAATATGTTTATTAATTAATATATTTTCAAAAAAGAATATATATCTTAAATATTTAATTTAATGTCATTTATAAAATTTCTTATTTGTCTAGTATAAATTTAAAATAATTAATTTTTATTTTTAAAATTTATTATAATTTTATAATTGCAATTGTGTATCCAAACAGAACATATGTAATTACAATGTGACATCCAAACATGACATGTGTAATTACAATGTAGCAACCAAACAGATCAGTGTAATTATGTAATTACTAGGCTGGTAATTACTACCCTAATAATTACACCAATTCCAATTACCAAGTGACTTTCCAAACAGACCCTTAGTAAAATCTGACCCAACCAATGTGGAGACCCATTATCCCTAATTTTGATACTCATTAGCTCTAATTTCTATACCCGTCATCTCCCATCACATTTTTTACCGTGTCTTGATCGAAAGAAAAGATCCAACAATAGATAAAATTTTAATCCTTAAATCATCTCTTTACCCTTTTTATCGTATTTGTTATCAACTTCTACCCGACCAATAACAACTGCTTCGTTTCTCTCTTTCTCTGCAGAAGCCGAAAAATCCATTTGCTTAAAGCTATTTGTCAGCTAGCTTCTGCTCTTTTGCAAATTGATATGTTCAAGAGGAAAAGAGCATTCACATCGTTTTTTTATTACTTAGATTACAAGTTTTCTGTTTATGTAATATGCACATGGTGCTATATGCTATATGAATCTGTGTGATGTTGTTGATATTCAATAACAACAAGCTAGCAGAATAACTGGATTTGTTTCGTATATTCAGGCACAAGTATAGTTGAGGTTGAAAGGTAAGTAAAATCTGTTTTGATAGTTGTTGTTGGTGATCGGTTTTCTGAGGATAAAAGCCTTACCTATTATTGGATCTTCTCTCTCAATCAGGACATGTATGACATAAATATCTAATGTGATGCGAGAATCGAGATGATGGGTATAGAAATCAGGGCTAATGGTAATAAAATTACGGTTAATGGGTCTCCGCATTGGTTGGGTCGAATTTTACTAAATGAGTCAGATATAATACTAAATAGAAAGTAGTAATTTTTTTAAGATTTACATGAAATCACGTAGACACCATGTAGACTAATAAAAATGGTGACATGACACTTAATTGTACAAGGATAAATATGTGTCCATAGTTGGAAGGTAAGGGCAAATATATCAAAAAATAATGATGGAGGGTAAATATGATCTTTTTCTAAGAGTACAAGGACAAATATGACATTTTTCCGTTTAAAAAAAAAACTATCGATAATAAGGAGAAGGATGATAATGAAGATTGTTATTAAGGATATAATTTTACAAATGTGTAGTACTGCATAGTAAAAATGCACCCAGAAAATGAAATTAACAATATTTATTATTAAATTAAAACATAATTTTTTTCATTATATTAATTTCTTAACAATATTTATTATTAAATTAAAACATAATTTTTTCATTATATTAATTTCTTAAAAGAATAGAACCCCCCCCCCCCCCCCAAACCCACAATCAATATCCCACTATCTTATTTTAGTATTTATATAATACAATTAAATTTTAAATAATCATGAAATAAGTAAATAGAAAATTTATTATAATTCAAAATCTCATAACAGTTTCCGTTTTAAAAGAAAGTTACACACATTCTTAAATGTTTTGATTCTATATTTTTAAAACTATATTTCCACAAAATATGCCTATGAGATAAAATCACATTTTTAAATTTATTTGTTTATATCTACTTATACTTTAAATTATTATTAATTCTTTTCAATTTTGTATGTAAAAAAATTACTACCAAATAATAAACAAAAAATTGATACTATATCAAAAAGACAGAACTCACACAATAAACTATTAAAAATTTGGAACAGGTAGAAATATAAAATTTGGGATCTTTGAAAAAAATCTGAAAAAATAAATACAAATAACTATAATCTAAATAAATGGAAATTTCCCCAATAATAAAGGAACTGATTTTTAATAGTTCATATTATTGATAACCTGCAATTATTTTGAAATAGTTTACAAAAAAAAACTCAAATCAATTTATTTGAAACAAAAAAGAAAAAATATCCTTAATCGTGTTTTGATTGTTTTTTTTTTCATATTTATTAATTATCTTTAAAAAAAAAGAAAAAAGAAAGAGATGACTGAGAAATGACTTAATTATCATTTGTATATTAGTATTAAATTAATATTTTGATGTAGAAATATGCTGCTACAATAATTTTTTTCTATGAGGAAAAACTCGTGAGGATGAATGAAAATCTTTGAGAGAAAAGAGAAATAATAATTGGGACCATAATAATTTACATATAGAGGAGTTAACAGTGGCGGAGCCAGAAAATTTGTTAAGGGTGTTCAAATTCAAAGAGTAAATTTTTTTTTTGTAGCTAATGGGTGTACAAAATATATATTTTTTATTACTAATGAGTGGATGCACCTAGACTTGAAATTAAATTACATATCATTTAACTAAATCATATGAACATTTATAATTATAAAACAATTATTAATGGTATAAATCAGAACTAACCGGGAAAAGTCAACAAAAACAGTTTTAACTACTACTCTCTCATTCGTCTTTACTTGTTTGTTTGACTTGACACTCTTAAGAAACAATAAATAGAAAGATAATTTTACTATATTATTCAATTTAATTATTAATTATTTAAATATGGAGAAGTGAATAGTATTTAATAATAAGAATAGAATAAACACAATATAATAAATTATCTCTTAATTTTTTAAATCAAACAAATAACATTGAATAACTATCTTTATTAACTAGATAAGTAAAGATAGACAGAAAAGCAATTTAATTATATAAGAAATATTAAATTTGGAATGTGTATCATTTTTAATATTGATTTCGTTGTAAAAAAAGTATTTAATGATGTTGAATAAAGAACAGTTATAAACTTATAACATGTGATTTCTATTTATTTCCCATCTTTTTTCTTTAAACTTAAAAAATGTTGTTATAAGAATCGAACAACAGACGTTGGACACTGAACTGAACACACTTATCGCTGGACCATCAGCCTCCACTGTGCTTTAGTGTGTGCATTTATTTATATAACGAAATAACACAAAATATACTGCCTATACATACAATCTAATTTTCCGATGAGTCCGCCCCTGGGAGTTAAAGCTTATTTGATTGGGATTATAACTTTTCGATTATAAGTCAAAAATAAGTTAGAAATTTTAACTTATAATTTTTTATTTATTATTATCTTTTAGATTAAACAATAAGTATTTAGAAGCACTTTTTTATTATACTATTACAAAAATGATTAAAAACTGTGTTTACTTTTAAAAACTTAAAATAAATCAATTTACTTATGGTCTAAGAAATTAAAAAAATCCTTAAAAAATTGTAGCTGATTCTCAAGTTATCATAAATGCATGAATAAATATTGCTATCAAAATTAATGTAAAAACTAAATAATACTAAAATTATTATTATTAAATTTAGACAATGAACTAAGATTATTTATTGATGTGTTTTCATAAGGGGTCTGTTATAACATGTCAAGGTACTAAATGCTGACATTCTCTAATATAAACTTTAAAATCTCATTTATAATAGGTTGAGCTTTAAAATTGTCAATAAATCAATGTATACAATTATATTATCAACTGATCGCACAATGTGCGGGTACGTATACTAGTACTAAATTATACCATACATAATACATGAACTATTTCTCCTAATACTACCTACCAAACAGCCCCCCCCCCCTCCCCCCAACGATATTATTAGGGTAAAAACACCCAGAGGCAAGCTTGTACCAAAAGGGATTAACCTCTTAAAAGTGTTTTCAAAAGAGGTCAGTTCCATTTCTGTTGTCCTAGAACACTATGATTGGTGCTTCAAAAATGTTGAACAACAAATGGTTCAGTCTGTCAACAAACTTTCAAATTCATTAATATACTTTTCAAGCCAAATTAAGAGTCACAAAAAGTAACCCAGATCTTCAACGCTAAGGACACCTGGAGTACTAATATAACGACCTAGACAGCAATCAGCATTCAGGTCTTGAGGGGTTTGGACTTTATATTATACCTAGCATACCTGGTCACCACACTTGAAAAAATTGGTTGAACTCAAAATCTTACATGTTTTATTACAAAAAAAAAAATTAGATAACCAAGGCAAAAGGTCGGTCTGTAAAAACTGATTACAAAATTATAGAAACAAAAATATAAACCGCAGATACAATCCCATAAAAAGCATGTTCATAATTACCCATGCCTAGAACTAGAATCATCTGAATGACATGGCCGAATACAACTGCATGAGAAGCTGAAATCACCTGATTTGTGATGCCGAGCAAAGCAAACCAGAGGCATCGGCTCCAACAACTGCAAGATCACAAACAGTACAAAGCTCCCCTTGCTGAGACAGTACAAAATGAGTACCACAGTAAGGACAAGTGACATCCTTCTGACCCCGGTATATCGGGACATATGTTGCCCCACAGACTGTAAAAGGATTTCTGAAATCATAATTCAACTGTGTAACATCTCGCATATTTTTCTCAGCTGCCTGCAGAACCTGGCGGGCTGTTCTGGCTTGGCTTTCATTGGTGGGATTGGTCTCCAACAGTCTCCTAGCAAAGTTGGCTGCTGAGCTAAGATTTCCAGCCTTGTAGCAGATAGACATAGCATTCTGTAATGCAAGTCTCAAGTGAGGAAGCTGCAGATTACAGTGAGTGAAATAAGCTGCCAGTTCCTGCTGGCGAATAGGATTATCTTTCAATTCCTTCCTCTTAAGCTCCATCTGCAAACCCAAAACATACTCTTTCACTATGACAATCAATTCCTTGACTTCATCCACTTCTCGTCTCGACTCAACCACAATCAGAGGAATGGTGTGAAGGATGCTCAGGAATAGTCTAAGTGCATCAGAAAATTTTCCACCAGTAGTCGCCTTATAAGAAGCTTTAAGTTTTTCCTCCAACTGAGCAAAACTGAATATAAGAGCAGGTGGACCTCGAACATTAGGACTAGCTGACTCACTCCAACCTCTCTCAATTGCCACGGAGATGACCGGCGCCGAGGAGAAGGCAAGCAGATGAGTGTGGCTTCCCACATGAAGATCAATAAACAATGATTTTAAAGGAGAGAAGTTCCTAATTCCTAGTTGTCTGCTCAACAACCGCATAGCAGTATCAAAATTTCCAGCAGCTGCATGTTCAGCAGCTAGAGATGATTTTTGGACCCAAATCTGGCTGACAGGCATGCCAGGTGTTGGAGTGACAAACACAGAAGAGCGAGCATTGGAAGTAGTCTTAGGTGTGTCTGTATCAGGAGGCAGATCCAGATCCTCAAGATCCCATCCACCCTCCTCATCATCATTTCCTTCTTGTCCTTCCTCGTCACCAAGCACCATACTGATGTCCCCATTCTGTAGATTTTCCACCTCACCGATGTCCAATGACTCACCCCAGTCTGCATCCGCAGCCTCTTCATATTCCTCTTGTCCTCCCCTGCCTGCAATATCCAGACCACCTTCAAATATCCCTTTCGTTACCATCAGCAAAGGCCAGTCTCCACCACCCAAGATGGGAGTTGGGGGAAGCAACATTGAAGCTTTCTTCCCCTTTGGCAATGATGGAACATTATCCCCCAGTTCCTCTGCAAGACGCTCAGCAGTATCACTGAGCCCGTGGACTGTAGCTGTGATGTATGCAAGGGGCAGATGACCAGCATTTTCCAAAATTTTAACACGCTCGCGGACATTACCGAGGTACAAGGCATCATGGAACTGACCCATTACTTCATTTTTTACCTCAGCAATTTTCATCATTTTAGATAACTTCTCCACGTTTCCAGTTATTAGATATAGGAAAGAGAGCCTCTCAAAATTCTTTGTCTTTTGGTAGGCATATTCAACAATACCTGCATTGCCCTGCCGAAGGGCTTCCACGCCAAGCCTATACCAATGATCTTTTTCATCAATCTTCTTAGCAGATTCAAGAGCTATCTCAATATTCCCACTTTCAAGTGCTAAGTTGAAACGAGTGCGCTCATCCTTCACAAAATGAAGAGCAACTTCTGGAAAACCCTTCTGCTGCAAATATGAAATCATGGCCTGACCACAGAGCTCTGAGTTTCTTATCATACTCATAACTTGGTCATATCTCTTTCTAAGCAGACACAACTTGAAAACATATTCAGTTGAATCAATAATAATAGGACGGTTTTTGCCATCTCTATCCAAGCAAAAGATAGTGTTCCCATATATTTTTGTAATATAGACAGGAACATCTAGGGTTTTGACGATTCCACAATCCCCGTTGGGAAGACAGTACTTAATGTGGGTAAGTGTGGTATATATGAATACCCCATTGTCATCCCAGGCACCACTTTTGACACGAATTGTCTCATGAAAGGTGCAACGGTGCACAAGCTTCTTATCAGCTATAATTATGGAGTGCTTGCTAATCAAAGCGACACTTTCCATATCAGGTGACCAAACAACATACCTGATGAAAGAAGTCTGGAGATCTCCAAGAATAATTCTCTGCTGGAGATCAAAAATGACAACTCTATCCTCTGCCCTACATAGTAAGTTTCCAGTGCCAGCATAAAATATTGCATCAGTTGCCATAGGAAGAAGGCTTTTCTTGACAATTTCATTCTTGAGATTTTTTACCAGGACTTGATTAGTGCTCTTCTCAAGTACCGCAAACCTGTTTCGGGCAACAAACACAGCTGATCCTCCGGTTCCTCTTTTTGCATCTTGAACAGTATCACCCCTACCATAACTATCTTTGGGTACAATGTAAAGTTCATAGGAACCACCATCTGTGTCTGAACATATCAAGACAGCATTTTCTGTTGGACTGTATGAAAGAGTTCGTGGACCTTGATTCACATTGTTTGAACCGGGCCTTCTAATTGGTATCAACTGTGTGTCCTTCTGGGTTGAATACTCATATACACGGAGAAAGCGATCCTTTACATAAAATAAAGAATCACTGCTCACAGAAAAAGCAGGCCGTTCTCTCTCTAACTTGAATACTATCATCCCACTGTCATGTCCAGCTGCTAGAAGATTCATCTCAGGATGAGAAGCAAGGATCCAAAATCTATCATGCTCCCTGCGGAAAGTCTGAAGACCAGTCCTTTTTGTTGCATCCCACACTCGAATGCTCTTATCCTCTGAATTTGAAACAATAATATCTTGCCTTGGATGGAATAACACACATGAAACATTGTTCATGTGTCCTCTCAATGTGTCCACCTCCCAAGCTTTTGTATCTAGGAACAACAAGGCACACTAGCAATCAGAAAACACTTAAAAGATAAGATTTATTCAACAAAATAAGCAGTCTTTTACCCAGCAAGATTCCACCCAATAATTTTGTTGCCTAGATAACAACAATAAGATGTCCATATTCTTTCTCAAAAAACAAAAAGATGTTCATAGTTCTACGAGCTGAAGCAGCAACTTTTATCCAGCTATTTGCTTCAAGGTGGAAAACCCATTCTGGCTTCCAAAGAAGGAAAGAAGCTGGAATATGGATGGTAATGTGAGCAAGAAGGAAGAAAGATAGAAGATTATCCCAACATGTATTTGGCGGTCAATTTGGATTGAGAGGAACGAGAGGTGCTTGAGGGGACTCAGAACAGCATTCAGAGTCTTAAAATGAATTGTTTATTCCTTTTTTATGTTTTAGATTTTTTGTAAGTCACAGAATTGATTTACAAATTGTAAGTTGTAATACTTTTGAAGGGGAACTATACTTTGGTTGTAGTATACCTCATGATATATAGAAGTAAAGTTGCCATTCTCAAAAAAAAGTACATCAGGTATTTCAGGAGCATACCATTCATCCGCCAAATTTTCACTTGGCGATCATCTGCACCAGAAACTATAAGGGGGAGTGTAGGATGAAATGATGCCCAGTTAACCCCTCTATCATGACCCTCCAAGACATACTTCACCACAGCATCCACTCCACCAAAGAAGTCAGTATTCATCTGACTCAACCGCAAGAGATCATCAGCAGGAGAAACGGTTTTCTTTCTTAGGGCACCAATATCCCAGACACGAACAGTCTGATCCAAAGAAGCAGAGACAACCAAGTCCTCTTTGGGATGAAATGAGGCACACATTACATAATGATTGTGGCCAGTCAAGACAGAAATACAAGTACGAGACTGCCAGTTCCATATCCGAATAGTCTGGTCATCACTTGCACTAACAATCCATGGATATTCGTGGTGAAATTGAACAGTTCGAATATAATCAAGATGTCCAAGCAGGGTAAACAAGCACCGATGCAGCTTATAGTTCCAAACCTTAATTTTGTAATCATCTCCTGTAGTAACAAGAATTTACATATACAAAGAAGCAGTCCATAGTCAGATTTGCATTATGCATACGGCCACATATACTCTAAGATAAGTTACTAGTAAACCAAGACAACAAAGCATTTAGTATATGGACTATAAAAAAGGTGCCTTGACATTTTCGAAATTAAGAAGCATAAAGGAACTACTCAGTAAATTTTCCAGGATCATGCAAAGTAAACAATATATGTTCCCAAAAGTATGTCAATTGGAAACCATAATTGAGGATTCCGATAATGTGCCATATAAACCTTTTCTCAAAGACAATGGACTATTAGTAATATGCCCTGACTCATTAATAAGCTCAACAATGAACAAAAATAAATAAGAAGAAACACTATTAGAGGGTGTTTGGATTGGCTTAAAAGTTGGTCAAACCTACTTTTAAGTCAGTTTTTGACACCTGGAAGTGTTTGACAAATATAAAAAATAACTTAAAATAAGTCAAAAATGACTTAAAATAAATTGAGAAGTGTTTGGCAAGGTCAAGAATGACTTAAAATAAGTCAAAAACCAAAAGTAGATCTCCCCTACTTTTTATTTTTTTGACTTAAAAGTCATTTCAGTTTGACTTTTTATTTTTGACTTAAAAGCTTTTTTTTAAGCCAATCCAAACGGGCCCTAAATTATCTACAATTCACAACACAATCAGCACATCTCTGATAAACTATTGCAAATAGAATGAAAACAGGAAAAAAAGCATAGTTGTTCTTCAAAAACTACAGGCATATAGAGAAATAAAGGGAAATCATAGCTAACAAAGTGCATCAATTACCGAGAGCCAAAAAGTTAAAAGGGGAAAAGGAGATCCTAGTCCCTAAATTATTGGTTATGCTTCCAGTATTGGTTCCTGTAGCTCAACTACCACATTTAACTTTCAATTAAGCCAAATGTGCAACTGTGTACCACTTGCACATATTAACTGGAACTATCATTCAGAAGATAAAATAGCAGAAGTAACTGCATATATTCATGGATCACACATATACTCATCCACATACATCAGCAGATCTATATTCCATCAGGCTGTGTTGCAAATAGCATTTTAGCCCCTGAAAATTTTGCTTGCCGGTTCTGGTCTATCCATTATCAACATATTAGATTAAACCTTCAATTAAACCAACTCTTCCATTTCAGAAGATAAAAACATATGTATTTCCTCAATTCACATATCAAATATACTCATCCACATACATTGGTAGATCCACACTCCATCATACATTCACACTGTGATGCAAACAGCAATTCCCGGAATTATGTTTAATTCTGGTTTTAGTCCTGGTAGTATTTAACTTAGCATATTTACCCTTCAATTGAATCAATTGATTGATTACGGTCCAATCACACATACAAACTGGAACTATCATTCAGAATATCTTTTACTTTTTATAAGGGATTCAGGAAACTTTTGACAAAGCAGAAAGATAAACTAATAAAAGCACCCTTCTCAATTAACAAATCACATACTCTTCCATATGAACCAGTAGATTCACAATCCAATCTCAATTCTCATCCACATACGCTAGCATATACAAACTCAATCATATTTTAATGCAAATAGCATTTTAGTCTTGAATTATTGTTTATTCGGACTTGAGTCGACGGTCTATAGGAAACAACCTCTCTACCTTACACAGGGTAGGGGTAAGTCTATACGCCCTACCAGTGGCGAAGACAGGAATTTCATGAAGGGTGTCCATAAATTGCACAACAAAAGGTCTTTTTAAAGAGGGAAAAAATTGTTGCTAGTGAGATTCCAACATGTATCCATTAAAAAGGTCTAAAACCACTGAGCTACAACAATCTATTATACCAAGGGTGTCCAAAATATGTTATTTAATCACTTTTGTGTATCATTTTACGTATATATACGGTATTTTTTCCCGACGAAGGGTGTCCAATTGGACACCCTGTTGGGATCACACTGGATATGTTGTTGTTGTTGTCATTCATGTATTATTCAACTTAGCACATTTCACCTTCAAAAAAACCAAATGTGCCATTACGGATCACAAATATAAGTTTGAGCTATCCTTTAGAAGAAAAACTAGCAAAAGCACTTGTTATCTTTCTAAAATCATGGATCACACACATGCTGGTCCACATACATAAGTAGATCCACACTCCATCGCACTAATGCAAATAGCCTTTTAGTTGTTGCATTAAGTTTTTGTTCCAGTTTTCACCATGCATTTGCTCAAGTTAGCTCATTTAACCTCATAAACTAGTTTTCCCATTCAGAAGCACGGATCACATACAATTACCAACATACATCAATAGATCCAGATTCCATGACATTGTGATGCAAACAACATTTTACTGGCTGAATTATCATTTTACTCTGGTTTAGCCCCTACTCAACTTAAGTATACCTGAAATTAAAACAAATGTGCAGCTAGAGTTGAATCACATTTAACTAAAACCAAAAGCAATTTGTAAATTCATGGAATGACCAGATCCACACTGTTATCATATACGAAATTAAAAAAGAGGAGAAGAAGGAACCTCCAGAAACAAATAGAGGCTGAGATTTGTGAAAATGGACACCGCGAACAGGGCCATCGTGCTCATCAAATCGATCAATGAGAGTTCCCATACGGTAATCCCATAGCTGAATAACCCCACTATGAAGACTGGCTAAGATCCATGGCCTTTGGGTGTGAAAACTCAAACCTTTCACTCTATTACTCTTGGTTTCAAACTTGGTCAGCATCTTAACAATTCCGTATCTATGCACACACAACAGAGAGAGAGAGTAGAGTGTAAAGACTTGGAATTTGATTGAAATCCGAAACCCTAAATGATTGTGAGATGGAATTGGAATCAGATCTGAGATGAAATGTGCATTTTTCCTTGAAGATCTTAGTGGGCGCAAGAGCTGCCGCTGGTGGATCTACTTGTTCATATGTAGTAATTGGAGAGGTGACAAATTGAACCCGAGTTTTAATATTAAGACCCGTTTTTTTGAAAAAAGGAAGACTCTTTTATTTGCTAATAATATTACTAGTTGTAACTTGTAAATATGTCCCCAATATAATGTCCTTGTTTCGTATGGTCATAAAAATTTCAAGTATTTTTAGAAACAATTTTTTTCGACATAGTGTTTTTTGAGCTGTGAAAAATCAATGTAGATGAGTAAATAAATTTTCCAAAAAAATTAATGTCTTCGTTTCATTTTAACTGTCGTTTTAACTCAAAGAAATTATCCCAAAATAATTATCATCACTTTATTAATTCTTCTTAATATACATGAAAGAATTAAAAAGGATCGTTATAATGGGCCGAAAAGAGCAACTAATAAACATATATGCACAATTATCATTAAATTAGAAAAAAAAAAACTTTCAAGTTTTGCAGTAATTACTTTTCAAAATTTTGAAAGGACGCATTCTAAACAACCCAAAATCATTAAGATAATCCCTCCACGTGACATCCAACATACACTAATAAGAGTGAATCTGAGGAGCTTCCCGTTTCAAGAATTTGATAGAAGAGTCCTAAGAGGTTATTTTTGTAATTTTACATGAAAGAAGTTGCTAAGGGTATGTTGTTAAACCATCAACACTGAAAGGTAGCTCTATCTATAATTGTGAAGAAAGCATATTAATGGGTCTTCGAAAATAAAAAAAGAGGTAATTAAACCTAAAATATTATTAAGAAATCTAAAAAAAATTGGTTGAAGCTCAAAATCTTTTAGTGCCACATAAATTAGGATAGAGGAAATAACATATATTATTTGAAATAATATAAAACGTACTACAAATCACAGTAATTAACAACTTCAAAATTTAAAGGACATATAAAAAGTTTGATTGACTCTCAAACTTCTACCCATGTCACATAGTTTGGGCACTCATTCTTTCAATTCACATATGCTTTATCATCAAATGTTTCAAAAAAGAAGAGATCAAATAAATGAAGAAATGAAATTTTGGGCACTCATTCTTTCAAGAAATTAAAACTTATCTAAATCAACCTAAAGCAACTTGAATATTCAGGCAAAGTCTTAATCTACACTTTTTTATGACTCTTAAATTATCGATTTTCAAAATAACAACTTGAATTAGCATATGATTATAACAAAGTAAAAGAAATGGGCTAGTGCATCCTATATGTTTCTACTTCATAGGATAAAAGAAAGCCACAAAATTATATATATATCAAACAAAAGAAAGTGAATCCTAGACCCAATGCTTGTTCCTTACATCAGAAAATCTCAAAATTAATAAAAGTACTGAAACAAATAGAAAAAATGCAAGTTCATTCAAATAGAGAAAACATACTTAACAAAATTTAATGCACGACATCAATTTAATAATTCAAGTAATCAACTATATATACATATTTTTAAAAATGAAAATTATACAAATATCAGAAAATGAAGAATGAACCAAAGGAAAAACTAAAAACAGAAACTTTTCCCTTCAACAAGAACATAGTGTTATCAGACAGGAAAACAATAATCAGGTTATGTTATGCTTTAAATATAACTTATTATTCAAATACTTAAAATATATAGCATCTCAATAAAACACAATGTTCAAATCTTTCTATTGTTTTTTTTGCAATCTTCAAGAGTTAAAAAGACAATAATTCACATATAAAAGGTTCAGAAAATAACATTAAAGTCATGCCTTGTTATTAACCGTGAAAATAAGATAGTAAATTTTTTATCAAATGATCATGTTACATGCATGTGCATCGTTTAACTATTTTGATGAGATGACAAATTCATTAATCATGTCACCAAAGACTTTATATGGAACATTCTTCTAAGCACATACCTAAAATTGTAGATGATAACTTTCAAGTGATCTCCATCAATAACATTTCATCTTTTTCCATTATAGTCAAGTGACTAACTTGTACATGCTATATGTTCAAAACACATACAACATTAAAGTGTGATACACAATTTTACATTACTAAAGGAATATCAAAATATCTCTACTGTTATATGTGTGTTATCATTTCTCAAATATGTTTTCTCGATTAAAATAACGGAAGAGAAAAAAGGATAATCACCCATAAGCTTTTAAGAAATACATATGTCACTGAACTTACAAAAACTTTGAAATCAATAAGTCAAACTTGCCCCTTGATGAATTCGACCTAGGTATATGTTTTGACAATGACAAGTTTCTGAGTTAAATGCTGTTGAAAAACTATATGCATAACAGAAGCATTGTTGACACCAAATTTTGGTTTGATATTTCTAAAGTTAATACTTTTAAGTATTTTATTTTAAAAATAGTTCAAAATACATATTTTGCAATTTTAATGTAATCTGTTAATAATTATTCTTATTTCTTACAATATTAGGATTTTTATCGGTTAATTTTGTTTATATTATTTTGTCGCAGTCGATTGAATATGTTCAAATATTTGTTCCGTTTGACTAAATCACCTTTTTTGTTAAATTGCATTTTTTACATACCATTGGTTATATTTGCTACATTTTTTAAAATTCATTTTATTCGTTACATTTGTTAATATTCACTTTTTGCGCAGTCCAGAAATTCATTCAAATATGGATAAGATTTCATGCACATATATTTTATTAAATGGTGGTTTTGCCCATAGTTTTAAGATAATGGTATTGTATTATTGGTGGTTTTCAATTTCATATTTAAAGAATAACTTGATCATTAAGTTAGGGGGAGGTGGATAAGATTTTAGGGATAATTTTCAGATTATTAGTCTTTAGAAATTTCTTCTAGTGTTTGTGATTTTCCGGTGACAAGTTCATCGGAGCTCCGCCGAAATCCGGCGAGTCGACCACCGAAACCCCCCTTGGTTTTTTCTTTTTTTTTTCCGGCGAAACCCAAAATCCCAACATTTTCCCCTCCCCTTTTACCATTCTTTTTCTGGTGAAACCTCTTGAACAGAAGCTTGAACCGACCAGAAACACAGCCGCCGGAAACAACTCTATAATCCGGCCCGACCAGCAACAACCTCCACCAGAAAACCTCCCTTTTCATTCACTTTTTCGACCCCCAAATACACCAACAACCAGACCCCAAAATCCTGACCCTGTTCCTCCCTTCTCCAACCACCAGAAACGACCATATAAACCTTTTTCCTCCTCCTTTCTCACTGTTTTCCGGCAACCCACACCACCATCTCGAACCAGCCTCCACCCTTCTCCACGCTGAGTCAGCAAGCTCGTAACAGCCACAAAACCCCTTCCAAAACCCCACCAAACCCAATCGAAAACCCCACCGAAAACAACCACTAAACTCGTTTTCCCTTCCCCTCTTCCCCTTTCACTATTTTCTTTTGTTTTCAGGTACTCCGACTCGATAATAAGTTTCGACAGACAGCAACAACTACCAAAAGCAACACCTGCCAGCAACAATTCTAAATGTGGATGTAATTTCTCATTTCTGGTAACATCTTTTTCACGGTTATTTTATGTGTTTATTTTGATTGGAATAAATCTCAAGTGATTAATTGTTCATCTATGTTCCCCATGTTATTTCAGATTGTCATTTTCACTCTTTAGTTAATTTTGTGTTGATCTTTGTTGAAACTATTCGATTTTATTTCAGTACCATGGTTATACATAATGGATTGATTTTGGCATTCAATTGAGTGGAATGGAATTTTTGATGTTTTTCTCTTGTTGTTGAACGTTTATTTACTCTTTTTTATTTATTATTTTATTATTATTCATTTTATGTAAGTTTAACTATGAATCACTGTTGTTCGTTTCTTTAGATTATGTTATTATTATTATATTAATATTAATTTTTTATGGTTAGTAATCACGCTGAAAAAATGTTTCCAACTTTGTTTTCTTTCATCATTTGTTGTCTTAGATTATTTTAATCAATTTATCTTTTGCTATATTATTTTATTGTTAACAAAATTATAAAATTGGCCAATGAAAAAATCTTTTCGTCGGTTTTCGAGGCCTCCCCATTTTAAAAGACGGAAATTTAGTTTAAGTTTATTTATGTTGTATGTTAAAATTGGCCGATGAAGAAGTTACCGTCGACTTCCAAGGCCTCCCATGTTAATAAGACGGGGTTTTTAGTTTTTAAGTTATTATTTGATTTATTCATTTTTATTCATATTTATTCATTACTAACACTTTTACTAAGTGTCTTTACAGGTAAACGAAGTTGCTTCCCATTGAAGCTATTCGAATGAAGTTTGAATTATATTCTTTATTCATTATTTTGTATATATCGATGTTAGGTAAACTTTAGGCCGATTCTTATATTGTTGTTTTATTTTATTACTTGTGTATATTGCATGTTGATTATACTTGTATATTGTTTTTATCTTCTCCTCAATTTGAAAAAATGAATTCAGTCGGAACTACAGTTGTGGATTTTGAAGGATGCCTAACCCCTTTCCTTCGGAATAACTTGAACCCCTTACCTATAATCTATTGGTTTCGTAGTTATTGTTTATTAATTAATTAATTGGTTTCCTAGTTTTCCTAAAATTAGGTAGCGACTCCCTTTTACCCCTTTAAAAATTCTTTTAACTCTTTTTAGAATTGATTATTATTTTTGTGAGTCACCGCGACATTAGGCCCTCTCAAAGGATGTCAACAAGCATACCAGAAACATATTACTTACATGAGTAATAGATAACCAACACATTTATGCTAGAACACATACAATCATGCTAGAACACATAAACTTTTTGAAATTTAATTCAAGAATTACCTCTTGAAGCGTGAGCAGATACCTTCAAGAGAATCCACAAGTTAGACAGACCTTTTGTAATGACCCGGTTGGTCATTTTCGGAGTTTTCATAAAAATTACCGTTTTCCCCTCGCGATATTGACCCCGAGTTGTTTCTTGTTTGAGTTTTGATTTGGACTTTGGGTAAATGTTGAGATTTTGATAA